CCCCCCCACCCAACAAACAAAAGCAGACGGATAAGAAAACAGGTGTGTATTATTATTATATAATAATGTACACGAGGAAGTAAGCCTACTTCTTTCCCTTCCCTCTGTCGTTTCTATCTGGATTACTTCCTCCTTAGACTTAGACAAAACAACTGTTATGTTGTCGATGTGCTTCTCTTGGGTGTTTAGTGTTTACTCAACAAACAATTACCTCCTTCTTCTCAAACAGGATTCGGCTATAACAGTAACAGGGACATCGTGTCGGTCCCGAGCCTGGGCCCGCTCTCTTTGCACTAAATGACCTTTATTGTGTCGATGTGCTTCTCTTTAATACTCAAACAAACAGTGATCTCAATGTTAAGGTTATAATGTACTGTAAAAGGATTCGGCTACAACAGCTGTCCCCGCGGTTTTATGGGGGGGGAAATGGAATGAAATTATGCAAACTGAGCCCAAAAATGTAGAATTATGCGATTCTGTTAATTTAAACAAAGAATAAAAAAGGAAAATAATCAGAAATTATGCAAAAAATGATCAAATTTTGCTAATTTATGCGGGGTGTATAAAAGCACGGGGACAGTACAACAGGGACATCACGTCAGTCCTACTACATGGCCCACTGTATCAGTCTGTCGGACTAACTTTTCACTTGCACTAAATGACCTTTGCTGAGTCGACGTGCTTCTCTTTACCGTAACAAACAAACAATTATCTTAATGTTATAACAGGATTCGGCTACTTAACAGGGACGGGGGTTCTCGTGGCCCAGAGGCCCTGGGTCCGAATCCGGATAGCGAGGGAACATTTTTTGTCTCTAAAATTTCTCCTTTCACATCTTTTCCTGCTCTCGTGCATCGTTCTGTCGTTTGCTTTTGTCTCCACTTTCTGTCCCCACCCCCTCAACTCCTTTGCTTCCTTCTCTGGGCTCCTGTTTCTGCAGCCTTTCTTCTGCTACAGCTTGTTTCCTTCTTACTGCTGTCTTTCATCCACACCCCTGATCTTATTATGGTAGGAAAGTTACATTGCCTTCTCGGACAAGGGAGAAAAATCTCGGAGGTTCCGTGTGCAAGGCAGGTTGCGTATGGTAAGATCCCTTGATGTTCCAAAATCGAATATAAGAGTAGGCTTCGGCCGCCACAAGGGCAAAACTCAAAATTTCCTATCTACTGAAAATGTTTCATGTGTCTCGCTCGCTCATATGACCTTATGCAGTTGTGAGCGCCATGAAACACCCCCAAAAATACTATATGGACATAATGTCGGCGGCCCTGTTACGCCCTGGGCCCATTGAATTAAATAAGTCTCTTCCCAACTTTACTCGAAGCCGGCATATAGTTCACAATTTTCAGTTCCAGACCCACCAGACTCAGGTCTCAGTTGGACTTGGCCAACCGGTTACAGCTATCGGATAGAGTCCTACTTTTTGACACGAAACCTGGCTCTCTCACTCTCTCTGTGACGCTTTTCTTTTTACCAATGATAGGCTACTTTTTATCGCCAATGAAACTTAAGAGCAGAAGCTGATTCATGGCTCACACTTGTACCTTTCCGTAGTTTGAACAAATCTTGTACGTTTCTCAAGAAAGCACCGCGTTGTTCTGGTTTATGAAAATATAACTTAACTCTCCTAACTTTTAGATCAACTGAAAAGCCGTAAAGTGGAAAACTTAGATAGAAACAAGTGAGAGGAAATGTCACAGTGGCCCTTATGATCTGGACTGACCTAAGACGAGGCTCTTCCGGACTAGCCCTCAACTCAGCTCAAAGTTGATTTTTTAAAGTCCTGGTAAATAAATCTCAGCTTTATATAAAAAATAGCGACCAGCAAGTTGTGCCCAAGTCCATCTCTAACAGGACATGTTCGTAGAAAGGTGTAAAAAACACTCACAAATTATACCAACACTAGTTGTTTGCACCATAGTTGAGAGAACTGTTAACAGAGCAAATGAAAATATATATAAAAGCATTAATTGTAGAAGTTTAACGTCCGTCAACACTATTTATTTAGATCATTTAGGAGGCGGGCTGCTTCAACCCTGCCTGTCAGGCCCAACCGACACAAGACAGAAAAGCACTTGAAACAAACATATCAACCAAAGAAAGTTTAAAAAAAACATCAGAATAATTTTTAAAGCAAATAAAAATAAAAATGTATCATTTTGAAGAAACATTTTATTTCCTTGTTTGACACAGATAGATGTTTGAATAATAATTAACAAATGCTTTTTTTGGCAAGTACATGAACAAAAGCCAGAGGTGTGTACTTTATAATGTATCTACATGGCTAATGCTCTCCACACTTTTCAAAATCAGCACCAACAAAAATTGGGTGTATGTAAACAACAGACTCGTATGCAAGCTGCTCCATTCATTAACACCAGGCTTCAATTCCCACATTCCAACAAAAAAGAAAAAAAAAAGATTGTTTCCAGAGAATTGCTAAGAGTCAGAGCTTCTGTGATAAATATGAATAAAAAGAAAGGGTGCAAAAATGATTCCTTTGTCTTTCTTTAAAATTTAAAAAGGTTTTTATGAGACAACAAATTACTTTTGGACCCTGTGTCACAAACTTGAGACAATCCAAAAGCCAAATTAAATAATTGTTCATGTGCTCTGCCCCTAGGTTTACAAAAATTACAGTAGGCTTTCTTTCACTGTAAAATACAGGCCACTTTCCCAGAAATTTTCTTTGCTCAATCAATAATTTTGGTAACGTGTTGCAACAGACAATAACATTTGAAATTAACATACAATAATCTGCCATGATAAATTGTGAAGTCCTGAACATTTTGAAAATTCAGTCATAAAGAGCATTTAATAGAAATGAATGAATCACATAAATTATTTTAAGTTAAATATAATTATTATATTATACTTGTAACTTGACAAAAGAAACAGTATGCAACATGTTTAGGAGGCCAGCTGCTTCTACCATGCCTTTCAGGACCGACTCGGGCTGAGAGGGATATAATGTCCCAGGGATATAATGTCCCTGCAGAGAGACCGCAACACTATAAAAATTATCCCCATATTGGACTTGAATTTGGGTCTTCTGCGTTCGACAAAGAAATGCCTCACTGCAGACACAGAAGCCAATTATGAGAGAACAGAAACTTGTAACTTATAGTTATACAGTAGAACATGACTATAATGGAACCCGTTGCAGCGGGACCTTACCGGAATCACCTCTTTCTTGTCTATGAAAAACTCAATTAACTGTGCTTGGATTTAACGGGGCAAGGAAAGTCCAGAACTTGAATACAGCTGGAGAGATCGAGCGAGCTCTAGCTGGGGGAAGGGGTTGGAGGTAGGCTCCAAACAGGCAGTCAGCGGTGCAGCGTTGTGATTGGCCAGTCCAGTGATGAGTGAAGTGGGGCAGGTGGCAGAGAGAGATGGTGCGGAGAGAAGCCACTCCAAAAGAAGTGACGTGTGTACCGTACTCTGAGCGTCTACGCCATAGCCCTAGGCTAGGCCCAAAAAAAAAAAAAAAGTAAAAGAAGAGGAGAGCGTGTAGTGTGTAATTTTCGGTAATTTCCCTTTGCATTCCTATAGCGGGAACTTGCCTACAGCGGGATTTTTCTTCTGGAACTAAAAGTCCCCCTATATCCATGTTCTACTGTACATAGAGTAAGTGATTTTGAAATATTACCAGAGTTCATGACAGATATGCTAAAGTGACCCAAGGTAATGGCTTTGCTAGTCAACTTCTACCTCTGCAAATTTGACCTTCTCTCTATGTACATTCAAAACGAGGTGAAGCGTTTGATCATTCCTCTTTGAATGAATATTTGATGGGAAAGCCTTGGTTTGGGGGGGGGGGGGTTGCTTTTTTTTTTTTTTCTTTTCTCGATTATCTATTTAATATGTAGGCCAGGCTGTGATTTATCAATTCCATATTTCGCTAAGTGCTTTTATTCTTTAATTGAGTAGTAGCAAGGAAAACCATAAAGTAAACAGCTACAATCTCCCTTGAACCTCAATCTTTTCGGTAAAAGCATCTGCCTGAGGTTGAAAATATGGTTTCCCTTTTTTGATTTCCAAAGGTTGGCAGCTCTGCAAGTGTTATGAATGACTAAAAGTAGGTTAAACATGGCTTAGCATTTGATCTAAACAATAAGAAAGGGGGTTTCCCCCTCTTTTTTTTCTTTTTCCTTTTCATTAGCACTCTGCTTACCACAAAGAAAATTAGCTCAACATGAAGAAATTCTCTGGCTCCGTGAAATTCGTGTTATCAGGATTTTACTGTGACTGGTATAAACAAATTAAACTTATTTATTCAGTCTGGCAATTTGTGGACCATTAAAAAAAGAAAGCTGATGCTAATCTCCAATCCTCTCTAACAGTAACATATTAAAATCCCAATGTTTAACAAAACGTTTCTGTATTTCAGGCACATGGAATGTTGATTATGTTGAATGGGGAAGAACATCCACGGATAAAAAGAGTCTTGAAGCTCGGTCAATGTCCAGTCTATGACATTTCCAGGTCAACAATCGATCAAGCGCTAAATGGGAAGTAAAAAAGAAAATACATGTCAAATATTGGTGGCAAAAATACAGAACAAGAGGAAACAACATCTTTAACAAATGCACATATAAAGGAGTACAATGTTCAAATTGAATTAAAAATGGCAGAGGACATTTGCTTTAAAGTACTAGTACATGTATTACTATAACCTTCAATACATATTGACATATAAAGCTATATTCCCCTTGCCATAAGTACCTACAACAAACATGATCAGCAGATACGGACATTAATATTTTGAATACCTCATGAAATTTATCAAAACCATAAGAGGACAAACTCCAAAGTCAAACAATTATATAATAAAATATTTGAAAAAGCTTGTCTTACTATAAAGGTTAACGAACAAAATTACTGTAAATGTGAAAGAAAGCCACACTCCCAAACATTGTTTTCTACGCTACTTACCTGCCAAGTTGACCACCCATTGAGGTGAAAAATTTGTTGAAATCCAGCCTAAGTAGCAACTGTGCTAAATGGGGGCGTGCACTCTGACTTCTGACCCCGGATAACATTTGGAACAAAAGACTTGAGTACCTCTTGAAGCTCTGAGGGAACAGAAGGAGAAAGACGGTAACCAATCTCACAAGATACTTAAAGAGTGATTGATATCAAGCATTACATAGTTAGTTAACCTTTCCATGTTCAGCAAGACTCTTTTGATGTGCATGCAGATAAAGTGTTAGTGATCCGAAAAATTGAACCTTGTACCAAACTCTGAACTAAGTCTTTGGTTGCAGCAACAGCAGGTTCAGCAATCTTCACAGAATAAATAAACTGCGAGTACTTTATTCTGTTATATTCACTCAATGGTAAACTGCAAGCTGACATCAGAGAAGAAGAAAACTTTTTGCCTTGTTTTAGTAAGCGTTTTATGAAACTTGCAACACAATTAAGTTATATAAGCGCCGAAGATTCGGTGGTGTTACAAGAGCAGTAAACCACACCTCAGCACTCGCCAACCACCCACAGAGTGATGCCCTTTCTCTTACAGGGAGGGGGTGATTTTCAAATCAGGGCCTTAGGCAGAGTTGAGTAAATCACACTACTAATCAGTATGCAATAGTACAATATACTTGGGAATAAAATGAACAAAACGTGACTGAAAAGATTCAACAAATATAATTTTTAAAAATCTACACAACTTTGTCATAAGTTCATAATGATAATCTTAACATGAAAAGGGAATTTGGCATCGGCATAGACATACGGTACATATTTCACACAAATACCAACCGATGTGATATTCTGTATTTGCTGTTCATCCTTTTCAAAGCCAGAACTTTCAGAGGACACCAGTATGCGACAAAAGAGAGAGCATTGCTCCAGAATTTCATAGAGGCATGATGACACCTGGTGAGGGTAGAGAGAAGAACAAATTTAAATGAGACTCAAATTTAGTCAGGGTTTGACGGCACTTGCAACACAATAAGGTCAAATAAGTATTGGAGATTAGAGATATTGCAAGAAAGTAACAAACACAAAAAAAAGTAGGAGGTGAGATAAGAACGATAGATGTTTGATGGGAAAGAAGGAGCCACCCACACTAGAGCACCTGCTTTTTCAGCATTCAATCTCACTATCCATTTCTCCAATGTTGCCAATGGTTAATTTTTAGGCATGGTGAACGAAGTAGATCTAGATCTCAAATTGTCAGTGAAACAAAAACCCTGTGAGTTCAGAATGACAGGAAAAATGTAATTCTCGCCGTTCAGGAAAAACAATGAAATTAATTCAGGCTGATAAGAGCTCATGATGTTAACTGTGAGGCAACACTACTATGGCAAAACAAAAGACAGGAGAACAGAAAGAACATAAATAAAAACTATTCCAATTTTTGTTGGCCTCAGCATAAAAGTCATCAGCTGTACTGAGACAAGATAATAAAATGTATCACTACTAGCTATAAAGAAAGAACCAGTTTGAATCATTCCAGTCTTGCAATACTTCCACTGAGTAAAAGGAAAAACTTCATTAGAGCAGAGTTTTCACATACCGTTCTCATGTGTACAAAACTCTGGGCCAGTAAGGATGACAGGAACTGCTCATGGGCCAATTTAGCCGCTTCAAAGTCCTTGGTAGAGTCTATTTTGTCCATTAATATCTGGTACTGAGATTCAATAACATCCACCTGAAACAGGTCCAATAATAAAATTAATTCTAAACACAACACTGATATAAGCAGTCACTTGGCTATACCCTCCATTTCTGGCTTGCACAGGAAACATGCTGGGAAAAGGCAATGACAAAACGAAACTCAAGACATAAAATGTCTTCAACTTGACTCATACTTCCACTAAACCACAATAATTTTTTTCTGCGTGTAGTTTTAGGGTGAACTTCTGTATCACAATAGCAGTAGATTTGAGAACTTGGAGTGAAAAGTTGCTGCCCTTCTCCTCATAATAAGAGAAACAAATAGACGCAATGTGACTTTAGAGGGGACAATAATTTACTAATTAAAAAAAAAAAAAGACAAACCCTGACAGCTGTTACTCTCCAATCCTACACCCCTGAATGGCTCAATAATAAGCACAATAAACACCAGGTCACAATGTTCACAAAAATAATTTTCATCACGTCCTCTTCATTACCTTTTCTCTTATTGTGCAAAATTCTAATTATAGACAAAACAGGTAATAATGAACACTTTTAAAATCTTTACATTATTCCAGCACTAACAGGGGCACTAAATATATTCCAACAAAAAGGCATGCAATTTAATGTACTACAAAAGACAACATATGCCATTGGACCACAGGACATGAGATTAACTCTTTATCTCCGGCAAGCTGCTCCCCACTGTGCTAGTGAGCTGCGGCTCGGGCACATTCCTTTACGACGACTTCGACATCAAATTACTTTTCGGCAATTGCCGAAAACAGGTCTCTTATACCAGAAGTTCATTCATTACATGAAGAACTATCAAAATAGGTTTGCTGGTTTCGATTTAATGACCCATTTAATGACATTTTTGGCATTTTTAGATTTAGCACCAAAACAGGGCCCTGGCGTGGTGGGTTTACCCCCCTTGGAGATAAAGAGTTAAGGGTAGCTGAACTAACAACAACTACACACAAGAAACACACCTGTAAATAGTACTGCAGATTGTCAACCAGAAATGCCATATGTGTGCGAAGCTGCCAGGTGGTGCTTGCAGCAGGGGAGACAAAAACCTTTTTGTTGCACATCTGCAGACTCCAACAATGTTGCAAATCCAGCTGGGTGCGTCGAACAGCTAATAAGAAGCGGAAGATCTTGTCATACCTAATGGAGTGATACAAAAATAAACATGAGTAGATAAAAATTGAACATAAAAAGCACTGTAAAACTCTTTCTAAAATGTTCATCAAACATTGTCCAAAAAACAGTATTGACAGTCATAACCCTTTGTGATTTATGTCAGCCGTTTAGTGAATCTACAAAAAAATATATTTTGTTTTTTAAATGTGTTTCAGAGCTACGGTAAAATTTCATCTTCATTTAATCAAATAAGGTTGCTGAGACAAAACTCACTTGAGAGAGTAGGGAGGTAACGAACCCACTCTGACCACCTCTATACATATGCACTTTCCAATTTAAATACGAAATGTACAGCACACAGAGAAAACACATGAATTGAGCTTACTTTTGCAGGATGGATGGTGTAAAAAAAATATGAAGAGGCCACTGGACTGTGTAAGACAGCCCAAGGACACTCCAGCCAGTTTCTACATCACTTTGGGCAGTGTTTGGGTCTTTCTCTGCAGATAAAATAGAAAATGACATGTTCACTTGACTTGAGAAACATGACAGAGACAACCCCAAACTATTAAAAACAACTAGTACGAAGAACATCCAGACATATAATCACACCCATTGGAAAGGACTGGAAAAACTCTTTTATTCCATTTAACAGAAAGAAAGCATCCTGAAAACTACAAGAAAATAAAAAAACAAACTACCCCACCCCTGCTACAAAAAAGCACTCCAGGAAAGCCCAGCAAACTTAAATTTCCATCACAAAACTTAAGACATTTTTTTCAGGAAAGTATATATTTAAATCTTTCACATGCTTTGATCCTAGAGCAAAGAAGAGAATAGAAACTTACTTTTTCCTTTTGCAGGAGCAGGAACAGTCAGGTGAAAGCGTTGCAGTAGGGCATCATTGTCGATGAGAACATTGCGAGCTGCATGTTGAAAGGCATGGTTCACATCTGAAGACAACAAAAAGAACAGGAGATCGTAAAACTCTATGAAGAGGGGGGTTAAGTATTGTATTCGTCCATCAACTTGAAGATCCCCAATTCAATCACTGCCAGCATGTTTTTTTTTCCTCATGATATTCTACTCTCTGATCCAAGGGTAGGTTGGATCAAGAACACAGTTTTCTCAAATGAGAATGAAGAAATTGTGGTGGTTCTGTATGGAAGTTCCCATGTTAAAGATCCCTTGGTGGTTCTAAAATTGAAAAGACTAGGCCCTTTGGGTCAACATCTGGGCAAAATTCAAAATACATTTTTACTCTAAAATACTTAATTAAGAGTACCTTCGGAAATGGCATGTGGCTGATTGTCAGGCAAGGGATGATTCGAGACTCTATGTAGATAAAATGACCATGTTTGCAAAAACCAACTGCACTATGAGAATAAGATCTCACAGTCAAATACTCCCTGAGCTCTGGTAGGGTTATGAGAAGAGGAGAAAGAGATGTGTAGTTAGTGGTTTTCGAATTGTCATTTTCTCAGGACATGATTTTGACAACAGTAGATTCCACTAGATCAAAAACCTGTATTTTCCTGAAATGCAGTTTGCAACCTTATTAAACAAAGACCAGGTTACTTTTAAATTCAAACCTTGAGTCAGTGTAATAGCAGCTCACTCTGTAATACTTTCGTGGACGTCAAAACCAAAATTCAAGTAAAAATAGTCACCACTTTCACTATTTGGCAATATTTTATGAGGGACCCCTTCAAATCTCTCATCTCTGTAAAATGGGAATGAAAGTAGACAAGAGCCCCACTCACCATGCTCTGTAGTTGAGGCCACAGGTGTTCTCAGCAGGTGTTGAGCTTGATCTATGAAAGCCAGATACAGCTCTCCACGTCCCAGCAGGAAGTAATCCTTCATTATTCGGATTTCACCAGTCAGATCTGATTCCTCCACCACCAACATCCACAGATACTGTGGGGAAAGATTTAAAAAAATGAGAAGTTGTGTGAAACTGAATGAGACTTACAATTAAATGAAAGAGAGAGAGACTTCAAAAACATTATAACATAACTGGACTTAGCCACACTAATAAATTTTGACTTATTTTAAGAAGCATCCTAATAAGCTTTCTAACTTTTAAGAACACATTTTGTTCCAAAGTCTGACAGTTTATGCTCCAGACAAGACAAAAATTTTCTACCAATGCCTGTGCAATTCAGGGCTTTTGGTGAACAAGTGCAGTCATTTACTTCTGACATACCTGGATGCTTGCAAATACATTCTAACGTGACAGCAGATATTTCAAAAAGCCTTTCAACACAATGTCACAGAGGCTCACTTGGAAATTTCAAATTCAACCTCACGTGAGGGAAATCTGGGTTACAATGACACACGCATAAATACACATATACAAAGAATATCAAATACAATTTACACCAATGCAGACAAATTTTACAAACACACCATTGACAGTCACTACTGTGCGGCATCCTAATTTTTTCAGCTAAAGTTATTGAGTGTTGCTAAAGGACGCACCACAATGACCACCCATCTAAACCACATGTCACTGACATTATTTGAGAGTCTGAACTCACTAACCATTCGGCCACTAGAGCCCTTAGTCGATAAAAGATGCATTGTTATAAAAAAAACAACCCGAAAAAAGATGGATAATCCCAAAAAGGAGCCCATTGGGTATTGGGCGGCTACTGGACCAAAGCCATCATAGATGAAGATGAACAATTAACAGTAGATGAAACTGAGAAAATGTAGTTCCCGAACATTTGAGAGATATCTACATATGCCATGTATGTCAACTACAGAAAGGAGTCTGCATTCTCATAAACAATATATACTGACTAGAAAAGACGTACCTCAGCAGCATGAGCCCTTATTTTATTTATGACCGCCTCAAAACCTATGCTGTTGAAACCTGGTTGCCTTGACAAGTCAAGAAGATCTGCAGCGAATTCTTCCTCTCGTGTACTCATGATGGTTCCTCCTATTATCAGAAAAGAGAAGTCGCAATGGAAAACACTTATTTAAATGCAGTAAGAGTAACCAGTGCAAATTGTACTGAATGTAGATAACAAGAACACACAAATTACATTGAGAATTTCCCAACTGTCTTGAAGAACTAAGCTTTGCCAAGGGACAGAACATCGTGATTGCTACTTACATTACAATAGCTTCAACATCTACAGACTATCCTATTGAGAATAGGGGGAGGGAAGGGGAAGCAGAAATGCACATAGATCTACAGGCACATTACATGCATGCTTGCCACTCATGTCAAAACACATGGTTCAGTAAAATGATAATTGTAGTGGAGGCACAGGGCACTGGGGAAGGTGCTGGCAACATTTAGTGTTCTGCGGGCACACCTTATGAATGTTAAAGACATTTTAAAGGCTGGAAATTTGATAATTTAAAATGGATAAATACAACCAAAAAAATGTCATTAATCTGGGGTCAGTAATAGTAACAAAAAGAACCTCAATAACAGTTGGCTTGTGCAAGACAGTGAACACGGTCCTAACTGAATATATTCACCCTATTCACGGACCAATCAGTTACAAAAAGTGAAGGACATTCAAATAAAGGGATAAAAGAAGAAACAAAAGAGAGGCAACCACGTGTAAAAATTGTGAGAATGATATAGGTTCTGTTATTAGTCACAAGAAGAGAATGGCACAAGTAGAAACCTTGGTGCTGATGCTTCATCTGATGCTTGTCTCGCTCAAACATCTGCACTGACTCTCCAACAAAGAGAATCTTGTTGGCCACACGGGGCTGGATGTATGAGGGCAAGAGATCAGCTGCAATACCAAACTGGCTTGTTTCAGTGGGTATCTCTTCACCGTCGTCACTCAGGTGGATTTTCTGTTGTAATAGAGAAGAGTGAAAAAAAATAATTTTTCAATGGTTCATTTTTATTACAAATTATCATATGGATATCAAATGGGAATGATCTAAAAAACCACATTCAATAACAGCAAAAAGTGGCAAACATGAAAACCTTATGACATATCTGGTATGTTATAAAAATGTGTAATTTTTAGCTTTGAGCTGTATCATGGATGTCACGAAAGTTGAAAGCTGGAAAAATTTGCTGCTCCTGGTAGCCTGTATGTTACATGTACATCATGCAAGTCAACTGGCTCTAGTTTTTCTGTACGGAGATTTAACCAAAAACACAGCATGGATTCGAATTTGAAATAAAAAAAGGTAGATATTGGTACCATTTTTATTTCTTTCCTGCAATGCTTGCAAATGATCTATAAACACGGCTCTAGTATTGTGGATGACCACATAGACACCAAAATGACTTAAAAAGGCAAAAAATTTTCCTTTTTGACTTTGGTTCGCAAGTTTTTCAAAATAATGAGTAAGATGGGGAATTTTGAGATCTAACCCACTAGTCCACTAACACTTGAGACGTGAGACTGCTGTCCTGGTTCACGAGCTTAGCTGAAAATCAGTGCTGACAGTAGGAACGCACACCCCTTGGCAACTATGGGGTTAATTAGAGATTTTAAGAAAATAAAACGAAAAAAGGAAACTAGTGATGATTTTGAAAGACTGGGAAAAAAAAATCAGTTTGAATTTAAGACAAATAGAAAGAAGGTGAATTTTCTTTAACACAAGAGAAGGCAGAAATTACACAAATAACTATTTGCAGAATCCAAATATAGTATCACTAAGATTTGTCTAGGTCATAATTTTATCTTGTCTTATCACACATATTAATTTTTGGTAGGCAGTTTTACAAACCTGAAGCTGTCTTCCTGTAAGACCCAGGATACCCAAATCTTCCTCTTCCTCTTCTTCGGTTTTTCTGACATGTCCATCCATTCTTCGGATGAAAAATTCATTGTAGGGATCTGAAGTAATTCCATGGAGCATCCAGGCAGAAAGTTGTTTGAACAACAACCCATGGCAGACATAGAGAATTCTGGTAGTAAATAAAGAGATTATGTCATACTGTCATACCTTAGGCTAGAAGTTGCAATAAATTTTCTAATTTTATTTTAGTAAGCGTTTTACGGCACTTGAAACACATTTAGGTCATATAAGTGCCAAAGATTAGAGGTGTTACAAAAGTCGAGTCACAAACACAAAAAGGAGCTGGAGAGAAAAGAATGAAAGATGTTCGATAGGAATGAAGGAGCAAACCATATAAGAGCACTGCAAACCATCCACAAATAAAAGCTCTGCTATTTGGACAATAATTCGACAATTCAGTTCAAGAAACCTGTTTGCCAGACTTTTCTCGAATCGACTATTTTGCTGTTCCGTGGCCGCATATCTTTCTTTGTCACAATTTTTCAGCTTTAACCCCACTGGACGCTGAGAGCATCCAGCGGTAATAACCCTGTTCCCCATCGGACGCTGGGAGCGTCCAATACTAGTGACAACTGTTTCGTTTTATTTAGTGCTAGTTTCTTCTTGTTTTTCCTAACTATTCCCAATCCAAGTTTTTTAGTAACGATTAAGCCTTTATTTCCGCCATTTAGAAGTTAGAGGCAAGCTTTTGGAGTTATAATGAGACATAGTGCACCATGTTTAGGCGACAATAGAAAAAACTTCGGGAAACGGTGGAAAAAACTCAGGGTTTAAAAAGTTAGTGTGAGGTTTGGACTGTAAATAACTTATTTACAGTCTGATCCTTGCAATAAAAAAGATATGTGACGGAGAAAGATCTGCGGCCACAGGAAAGCAAAAAAGTCGATCTTAGACGAATGTGGCATACAGGTTTCTTGAACTGAACCGTCGAATTGAAAGAAAGTCATAAGGTGTGATGCATTAACTAAGAAATAAGGTAAGTATGTAGATTGAACATAAAAACACCGCTAAAAGACCCACCTGTCTAAGGCAGCTTTCACAACAGGAACACCCAGGATCGAGTTCTTGTATAGAATATCTAGCATGTAACAGCCATGGGCCTGAGGACAGAGCAGAAAATGGTATGATTTTAAAAAAGAAAACGCATCTCCATTTTTCACACACCCTTGTGTTTTACATTTGTAAAGTGATAGGATATTGGCTTAGGTATTAGCATGTCTACTTTTTCTCAGCACATTACTTGATAGTCAGCACATGCTGAGATGCAAAGAAGCTACAAAACAGGTATCAAATGACCCCAGGTGACAAGCATTTAAAAATATACCAGACACACCTTAGACAAGAGCATACAATAGTATAAATCTGCTTCCCACTACATGCAGGCTTATGTACTGATCAATAATATCAGGGTCCTTACGTATACACTCACTTTATGAGAGACCACTTGATCGATTGTGGCAGCCAAGGCTGGGAACAACAACTGAAACTGAGAAGTAGAGAGATGAAAATGACACAAGTGAAACCACCATACTGAAAAAGCAACATGTGAAAGCTGTTTGATAACATTACTTGACATAAAGATATTTGGCCATTATTGTACTGTGTAGATTTGTCATAAACTACAAATACAACTAAAAACACTGAATAGCTTCGAATGAAGTATTTTCAGATCTATAGATAGAATAACTTACACTGTAATCAATTGGCTACATTTGAACTAACCTTTTTCAAAAAGATTTTCTTGGATGCCTACTACAAATAAAGGGTAGAGAAAATACGAAAAGAAACAATGACTGGTCCCCATAATGTGCTAAAAATGTCAAATCTGTACAGTCTGTCATAAATAATCGGGAATACAGGCAAAAAACAAAGAGAATATCAACCTCATTGAGTTTACTGGCAATGAATGACACTGGTAGGTGAGAATCTTTGAGGACATCCTGCTCCACCTCCAGCAAGACATCTCTGTAGTCCTGGAGTACATTGTCCAAACCCTGACACAAGCATTTCATGTACAGGCCATACAGGTCATCCGAATCTGGAACATTCCCAAAAATAGTGTTACTTTTACAACCACCATTTTGGAAAAAAACCTGTTTTCGGCTAAGGCTGAAAATAAATCATAAAAGAAGAAGGAACTTGGATTTTTGGTCTCTGGGTCCCCAACCAGATTTGGAGGGATGTTGGCAGTAGAGGTCAAAGGTCACGCAGATGTCTCCTTTCAGCACTTACTAGACCTACTACACATATACCAGAGTCACCACTTTCTGTGGGGATCAACATGGGAGTAGCCATGAAGTCAAGCAAGCAGATGAATTTTAACTTATCTTAAAAGAAGGAAGACCTCAAGTAGACTTTTGTTGCAGGAGATTGGGTGCTATGGTGTAGATATCATAAGCAACAAAGCGTCTTCGGGAATGAAAATACTTGTTTTAGAATTTTTCAGGTTATTTTCTTCCTCTGTACTCAGAATCATTTTAAAATTTTGCACAGGCTGCCAGCTTGGAATGTCACTTTATCTAATAAGAAAACAAAAAAACATGTGGTGTGTGAAAAAGAATACACAAATGCTCAAAGTATCCACTAGCTACACAAGAAGGACTATAATAATTGAAGTAGAAATGATGTGATAGGCATGGCATTTTCTGTCATAACATGATCCTTTATAAATTTTAATGATAAACCAGTGGCATTCTTGGACTATCAAATATCTATAGTCCTTATCTGCTCTTCTTTTTTTATGTGTGTTTGTTACTCTCTTGTAACGCCTACTCTTATCATCGGCACTTAAATGAAAGACCTAATTGTGTAGCAAATGCTGTGAAATGCTTATTGAAACAAAAAACAGAGCCCAATTAGAACTCTAACTGAGCCAGTACATTTGAAAAGGAACATTCCTGAAAAAAAAAAGTTCTCTAGAGATTTTATAAAAAAGTCACATAGTACGTTACTGGTCAGCAAACATTAATTTTCTCATCAAATTTCAACTGTGTTAGGCGAAGTATCAAAATAAAGATCACACTACAGAAAATTCCCAGATTTCACTACTTAAATTCCAATAAATAATATTGCCCCACTACTTATCAAACAATCAATTATCAAAAGTCTGGAAAGCAAGCAACATCTCACTGCACACCAAGATTCGACTCTTTAACTCCAACCTCAAGTCTGTGCTCCTCTACGGCTGCGAAACTTGGAAGACAACGAAGACAGTACTGAATAAAGCCTAGACTTTCATCAACAGATGTATGAGGTGTATTCTAAGAATTAAGTGGCAGGATAAAATAAGAAATGAAGAGCTGTGGGAACGGAAAGGACAGGACAAAAGGATATAGAAGTAGAAATAGGACTAAGAAAGTGGCGATGGATGGGACACACCTTAAGAAAGCCCAGCGGAAACATCACAAGACAGTCACTGCAGTGGAACCCACAAGGAGCACGAGGCAGGGGTAGGCCACCGGAAACATGGAGGAGATGCGTGGAAAGGAACATGAGAGAGATGAAGCTCACTTTGAACGAGCTTGGAAGGATGGCTCAGGACAGAGATAAATGGAAGGAATTTATATGTGGCCTATACCCTACCAGGGGTGAAATGCATTGATGATGATGACTTATCAAATAAGAAAAGAGTTATTTTAATTTGCTTACAAAGTCAAGTCTATCACTATCACAAGAGTAAATGTAACTGCTATCAAGGTGAACATTCAGAAAATAGTAATCTAGAGGAAAAAAAATCGGAAAGCCAAAAATAGCCATTTTCCATTCCGCACCTGGATATTGCCCTGCAAGCAGGCCACTGCTGTAGTGCTGAATGAACTCTGTGAAGTCTCTGTAGTAAGTGCCCAACTTGCAAAGTTGATTAAGTGAAGTCACTTCTGAGGCATGAATGAAGGGTAAATTTGGAACCACCTGGAAAGAACATTCGTAAATTTTATATGTTTGTCATAGGAATAAAAATAGAGTTAAGTAAAAGGGTTTCTTTGTCATACTTCTTTAACATTCCCCTCAAAGTATAAAACGTTTGACGGAAAATTTTTAGTATTCCAACCGATGGAAGAATCCAGGAGAGATAAATTTCACAGCTTAAAATAAAAAAAAGTTTCCTGCCTGGTGCCAGATTGCATTATAATGCGAACAAATCTTTTTTCTTCTTTGTAAGTGTTTTACGGCGCTCGCAACTGCATAAGGTCATACATAATCTATGAGCCTGCGGGGCACATTAAACATTTTCGGTTGGTAGGTAATTTTGATATTTTGCCCGGGTGGCGGCCGAAGCCTACTCTTATTGATTTTAGACCACTAAGGGATCTTAAACGTGAACAACTTGCACCCGGGATCTCCAAGACTTTTTGCCCTTGTCCTAGAAGGCTAGGTGTAGATCTTTCCTACCAGAAGACCAGGGGTGTGGCTGAAAGACAGCAGTAAGAAGCCAAGGAGAAACAGTAGAAAGGCTGCAGAAAGAGTCAGGAGGGCAGAGGAGCGGGCAAAGGAGATAAATGGGTGGGAGCAGAAAGTGGAGACGAAAGCAGACGACAAAATATTGTTAGAGAGCAGGAAAGGAGGTGAAAGGAAACAATTTTAGAGAAGAAAGTTTTTCCGTCGCTACCCGGATTCGAACCCGGGATCTTTGAATGAGAGGCGAACACCCTAACCTCTAGGTCACGAGAGCCCCCTGTGAAAACATGTAGGCCTTGTATACACAGTCACAGACGTCTGAGTTAACACTATACAAGAAACTACTTATATAATATTATAAATATACTCTACTTAAGATCTAATCTTGCTTTTTAATACAGCAAGTAAAGTAGACAAGAAACTCAAAATTCTCATCCCAAATCTAGAGATAGATAGATACTTAATTATCAAAACACTTTGAACTTGAGCACGCAATGAAAACTTTTGAGTTTGATCCCATTCACATTCAGTGCTTTCAGTACCCATGTCCTTCACAGAAGGCCTATAATATGTACACAATCTCATAGAGATAGAATCACCAGATGTATCAATGATATACAGTAGTCTCCGCCTAAGATCCTGGTGCTCGGGAGCAAAGAAAAGCGGGATCTTAGGCGAACCGGGATCTTAACCGACGAACCCAGGGAAGAATCTATGGTGACCCATGTTAAGGCTCACAATCGGTAAAATGGTCTCCCTCCACTCTAAAATGAACTGACGTGACCGCTTGGTGGGTTTATGACGTATGGCGAGCAAAGAGTGGTTAACCTTGATGACCTATCACAGCGCATAGTGGGATGAGGCGTGCCATTTTCACTTAGTATCCTATCATGAAGCTCAAGATCTACGCTTCTCAAGTTGCCCCTCCCCTCCCCCTTACCTGTCGAAAATTTATAGCTTTCCATCTCCCCCAACCGCCTTTGTCGTTACACACCATTACGTTGTGAATACACCAATTAAAATTCAGTCTGTCTCGCAAATTCGGGAGTAGAAACAACTTCTGCAATGGTCAGGGAAGAGTTCACAGTTCAATGTGATCCCGCCTGGAGCGAACGTGTAGGCCCTACCCACCCAGCGAGTGATGTGTAAGTTTAGGGGGAGAGCTCAGGTGTGAGTGCGATGTTCGGGGAAAACAAACGTGTCGGTCAGTTCAAACCTCTGTGTGATCCCGTCTGGCGCAAACATTGTATCGCTTCATCGAGTTTTACAACGTGTATGTGATCACATTCACGATAGTGGCTGATCTTTGACGCGACGGACAGTTTATTGATCTCAAATTTTCACTCTTGGTTGATCGGCTGTCCCGCCCGGGGTTTTTTACGCAAATTATGATCTGAAATGCGGGATCTTAGCCGAATGTACACCTTCAGAGTGAATCAAAGCGGGATCTTAGGGGTGACTTTTGTATAGTAAAAACTCTGTTTTCTTAAAACAGTGGGATCTTAAGCGAACCGGGATTGTAAGCGGTGGGATCTTAGGCGGAGACTACTGTATTAGAAAATGGATGCTCAAGAATAAATTAAAATTAAATGAGGATAAGACCAAAATATTATTTATTCGTAGCAGCGCATGCAATGAAATTGACAATATCAGAATAAACATCAATGCCATGAAATATCAGCCCAAACTAAAATAAATAATTTACGGTGTGGTGCTAGATCAAGATATATATGTCAATGAAATCCCATGTATCCAACCAATCTCTGTAAAAATCTATGTCTCCAACTGAAGAAAATATTTATCTGTTGATGTCACCAAAACTTAAATAGCATCACTAAATAAATATTGTCAAGGTTTGATATTATTGCAATTTCTTACTTGCTGGTGTACCTGTTGAACAGTTACAACAACTACAAAGAGCACAAAATATTGCTGCCAAAATAATTACTAAGACATGTGACTCCTATTTTAAAAGAACTACACTGGCTCCCGGTAAAAGAGTGTATCATATAAAATCTGTTTAACTTGCTAACAAGTGCTTACATGATTTATCACCTTACTACATTTTTAAAACAGTTTTTAATGTACCCTATGTTACCACCTAGAACGCTCAGATCATCAAGAGACAAAACAACCCTTGTTAAACCTAAAATAAATTACAAATCTTATGGCCAACGCTCTTTTTCATATTTTGCCCCACTTGTTTGGAAGAGGCTTCCAAAAACTATTAGAGAAGCAGAAAATCTCGAAACTTTTAAGAAGAAACTAAAAGCATTTCTATTTTCATCATATTTCAATTAGACAGAATCCATCCATGCTGTGGATCGTTGTGAGTTTGTGTGCATATGTACGTATGTGTGTATGTATGTGTGTATGGGTGTGTGGTGCGTGCGTGCATGAATATGTGTGTGCACGCGTGTATGTAATACTATACGTGCCTTTAAAATTGATTTTTGTAAATCCATAATATGTATCATGTTTAAAAGCGCATAGAGCATTGCATTAGAAGTGGATCGCTATATAAATGCAATCCATTATTATTATAATATTATTAATTTAAAAAAAAAAAAAAATAATTTAATAGGGCCTGAGTGAAGTGGTTAGCCGTACTAAGTACGGCTAGCTTGCCAGTCTAGCCATACTTAGATAGGCCCTATTGTCCGAAACCTATTTTGGCCCCACTCGTTTCTCTATATGAAGCTCTGGTGTCATTAAAATTATGACAAATGACTACAAAACTGTAAGCCCTTTGTTTCTCTAAGAATCTGCTTTCCTTGATCAAATATTTATCAGTACAGTTCCATAGAATTATACACCATAAAAATCAAAATATGGACGGATGAAACTTTTAATTTTAAGAAAAAAAAAACCCAAGTAGAAATTTAAACACATTGGGTATTGATGAAGACATATCCATCCGTCATTTATGTCTGCTTTTTCAGATGACCATAGTTCATTTGTTTCTTTATCAGTTTGAATGAAATTTAATTCCAAATAACTTTCAACATTCTTCTTCAACTAAGAAACTGTGAGAGATAACATAGATGGATTATAACCCCAATTAAATATATATGTCAGCTATCCCTCAATAATGGGCACCCAGCAATGAACAGTAAAACAAATGAACCCAGAATTTGAGACAATTTTAGGGAAAAATCAACAAAATTCATGAAATATCATAAACTGAATGAGAGTAATTTACTTTTTGATTCTTATGACTACCCTGCCAGTCTAACCCTGTCATTTTAAGTAAGGCAAGCCTGCCAGTCTAGCCGTCCTTAAGTAGCCTAGCTGTCATCGAGTACGGGGGGTTAGCCTGTCAGTCCAGCTGTATCAAGGGCCCGTCTACAGCCAGCCTGCCAGTCTAGCACTACTTAAACACCGTGCTCTTCCTTCAAGACACCCACTAAGATTATTTACAAATTCAAATGTCTTTTAAAAGTAAAAGTTTAAAATATATATATGACGACAGATTCAGGAGAATAAAATGTTTTAAAAACAGCTATTAAAATTAAAACAATTTAAACTTGTTTCGGACGACGTCATCCCCCGCAATGGTCCAGGGCATGGGAAGATCATCCGATAATAACACAATGTTATAAGTTTTTGTTGTGTAAAATAATTCAAAGTTGAATTTTTATGATAAAAATTTAGGAAGGACTTCCGTAATGAGCGACCACCTCAACAAACACAATAAAGAACTCTACCCACCCCTACCCCTCTACTCTGTCTCATAGTGGTCGCTCATTACAGAAGTTCTCCCAAAATCATAAATTTTAGTCACCTGGATCCCAACATCCGAGTGTTTGAAAACACCACCATGGTGGCCCTTCAAAGCTAAAAGGAGTTCGTGCAGCATTGTATAGTGTCAATAGTGATGGCGATGGTCGGTCAGCTGTGTTGCCAGCAAGCCAAAGTACATATGTTTCAGGTTCCAAAAAAGTCAATCAAGTGATAAGCGAATGCAGTCCGAAGCCAAACACTAGATCTATGCATCCATGCAGCCAGGATTTCTTCCGCCATTCATCATCAAATTCAAGGCTTTAAAAATTGATTTCTCTTTAGATTCAACAGCTAGCAGTCAGATGGTAACAGAAGTAGGATAGAAAAGTTAATGTGAGCTGTCTTTATATCTCTCACTGGCAATACACGACAGAATTTTACGTTCTATCGACTCTTCTTCTAACTGTTAGTGTGATCTGAGAATCTTGATTCCGTCTCTTCGTCTGGAGTGGGCACAGCAGTCGTCGTACCCCTTCTTCGAAATAAGTTAGCCTACCTACTAACAGAGTCAGTCACTTAGATCTAGAATCTAGATCTACATCTCGTCTCTAGATATCTAGGAAAGATAATCTAGATTCTAGATCTAGTCCTAAAAAAAGTCTAGAATTTTAGCCAACAACTTGAACAACAGTGGCTAGGTCTAGAATCTAGAGATATCTAGATAGTCTAGATCTAGATCTAGATTCTAGAGATCTAGATTCTAGATTCTAGATCTAGATATAGATATAATAGATCTAGATATAGATGTCTAGAATCTAATTCTAGATCTAATATAACAGAGTAACTTAACATCAAGATTTAAAAAATAATCTTGAACAGATGTGTACAGATTCGGTCACTTTGTATTGCAAAATTGCCGCCAGGTGCGGACATGACTTCAGTAGGCCTAGTAGTAGCAGTAGCAGCCTGCAGTTAGTTACAAACTTTACAATTTCAATCTCGAGATGGAATATTTTACCAACGAGACCTCCCTTTTCGGCAGATTTTGCGGAAGGAGGAGAAGAAAATGTACAATGCCAAACTGGCTTTCTTGTATGAAAATGCTGATCAAAATAGTATTTTTTTAAAAACAATTTCAATTAAGGCAAGAAAGTATATTTGAACGGAGATTAAATAAAAACCTTTAATGTCTAGAAATGATGATTCTGTAAAGTTCTCAAATGGAGGGAAGTCAAAGGGGAAAAATGATGTCTGCTGTTGCCTACAGGCTGCAGTTTTGAAGTCATGGACGATGGGAGGGAGGCGTCATTGTTGACATTCTTGTTTTGAGAAACTTTTGAGGTTGCCTTTGTTTACCTCTCAAACTCAGTGAACTGACTGACTGGTTGGTCTGGTACTGACTGGTGGGTGTAGAGTTCGGGCTTCAACAAAGGGTGAGTTATTATGAACCGAGGGTACGCCTTTCGTCCCTTGACCTGCCTGCCTGAATTAAGTCTTTTTAATACGACATTGAATTGGCTCCTCAATAATGATAGACCTAGACATCAAAACTCAAATTGTTTGCTCTTTTTGATGGGTCACTCTTCGGCGATGGGCTACTTTCCGATCCATCATGTGTCAAAATCCCGCTTTTTCCACAACTTGACAACTGTGACTGTGAAACTAGAATCTAAATCTAGATGTCTAATCTAGATCTAGATCTAGAATCTAGTAAGCCAAGCCATCGTTTCTACATGTCATAATTGTAGTTTTGCCTGTGGAAGCTTTCTCAACTTTTTTCTTGATAATCTAGATCTAGATCTAGAATCTAGATCTAGATTCTAGATCTAGAATCTAGAGGATTTGACTCCTTTTTTATGACAAATGACGTTGTCTTATTCCGATCAATATAATATTGGGGAGAGATCTAGATATCTAGATCTAGATCTAGATCTAGATATATCTAGTCTAGATTTGTAGATCTAGATCTAGATCTAGATCTAGATCTATTCTAAATCAAGATTAGATATTAGATCTTACAGTTGTTTCTGAGCCCAAAAGTAAAAGTCGTTTTGTTAATCTCTCATAATCATAATTATTTTGAGTTTAAGAGCAAGTCAAAAGGCGCTTGGATAACAATAACAAGATGGTGCAACTCGGTCTAAGCACTATTTCCTGTCCGCAGTGTCATACAATACCTAAAAATAGATTCTAATTATTAGGCTAGATCTATCTCTATGTGCACTTTATGTTTTGCCATCACACGTGACGTCGCCTGATCTAGATTTCTAGGCCTAGGTTTCAGCGTTTAAATTAGCAGGGGGTAGTGTCTAGATCTACATTCTCTTACGTTAGGCCTAGAGAACGTATCCAGTTAAATCCTGTTATGATGAGAAGGAGGGGACCTGTGCGAAATGTCTGTTATAGCAGGATTCTCGTTTTATTTAAGGGATGCCGTAATAAATTCAACGGAAATTTTAAAAAGTAGGCCTAATCTATGAGTTTGGGAATCTGTGTATATTTCTTTATGTTATCTCCCTTGATGATGATTCTGTTCAACATGACCTCTAGGACTTACTTGATCAAAAATTGAATCAGGTTTCTTTCTTTAGACTAGCGACGTTGACGACAGCTCGGCTTTGGCGATCAGAATGAAAGGGCTCAGGCGAACTAGCCTGCTGTGTTGTTCCCCACCCCACCACACCCACCCTGTGGTGTGTTCCGTCTGCTTGCACATGCATGGGTCTCAATAGTCCGCTATTTAGCGGATTTCCGCTACCGCCATTTCCTCCGCTAAACTCCGCTACCGCGACAGCGGGCCAATCAGAAAGAGAGTTGTTGGGAGCAGGGTGACTGCCAGGCCCTGGGAATTAAAAAAAAATCGCCGAGACCCGGGAAAATACATAAAAGATCTCGAAGATTTGAAAACCAAATCCATTAACGTCCTTTTTAAGTTCATTTCTGCCGGTCGCGATCGTGATTAATTCGGCTCTGAGAGTACGTTTCATGCGAACTGGTGGCTTTGGCGGCAAGCGGAAATGTGTCACCAAGGCTCGACTGGAAAATCAAGATCTACTTTCGCTTTCGTTACTACCCAGAAATTTGTCAGTCATTGTCTGATAACACAACCTTTATTGTAACATGCAGGTTCGGCATTACAAACGTGGTGTCGCCATGAAAATAAATCACAATATAGTAGTCTCCGCCTAAGATCCCGGTGCTCGGGAGCAAGGAAATACGGGATCTTAGGCGAACCGGGATCTTAACCGACGAACCCAGGGAAGAATCTATGGTGACCCATGTTAAGGCCCACAATCGGTAGAATGGTCTCCCTCCACTCTAAAATGAACTGACGTGACCGCTTGGTGAGTTTATGGCATATGGCGAGCAAAGAGTGGTTAACCTCGATGACCTATCACAGTGTATAGTGGGATGAGACGTGCCATTTTCACTTATCCTATCATGAGTCTCAAATTCTACGCTTATCCAGTTGCCCCTCCCTCTAACCTGTCGAAAATGTATAGCTTTCCATCTCTGACCGAGCCTCCCCCCCCCCCCCAGTCTGCCTCGCAAATTCGGGAGTAGAGACAACTTCTGCAATGGTCAGGGAAGAGTTCACAGTTCAATGTGATCCCTCCTGGAGTGAACATGTAGGCCCTACCCACCCAGCAAGTGATGTAAGTCTAGGGGGAGAGCTCAGGTGTGAGTGCGTTGTTCGGGGAAAACAAATGTGTCGGTCAGTTCACACCCCGGTGTGATCCCGTCTGGGGCAAACATTGTATCGCTTCATCGAGTTTTTCAACGTGTATGTGATCACATTCACGATAGTGGCTGATCTTTGACACGATGGACAGTTTATTGATCTCAACTTTTCACTTTTGGTTGATCGGCTGCCCCGCCCGGGTTTTTGTTCCGCAAATTATGATCTGAAATGCGGGATCTTAGCCGAATGTAGACATTCAGAGTGAATCAGAGCGGGACCTTAGGGGTGACTTTTGTATAGTAAAAATTCTGTTTTCTTAAAACAGCGGGATCTTAAGCGAACCAGGATCGTAAGCGGTGGGATCTTAGACGGAGACTACTGTATTTGTCACTGTGCTGTCGCTTGTGGGGGCAACCACCCAAAAAAAAAAAAGAAACGAAAAGAAAGTTATACAAGCGTCTTGTCGGGCTCGCCATTGTGACCGGTCAATGAACCTGCGCGCGTTCTGAGCGCTGCGAAGTACAGGACTCAGGAATGGGGGGAGATTATTTTTTTGTTGTTGTAAAGATGCACTCTGGGATAGGGGGAGGGCTGGATGCAACACCAGAGGACAAAGAAACTGAAACTGGAAGCAAATGTTTAATGTTTAGAATTTTGATTACTACTACAGCTCTCTACTCTCTGCAAAGTAAAGTGTCGTTGATGCAGGCCTTGTGTGAAATCGGGAACCATCATAACTAAGACTTGTAAGCATGTTTATGGAACTTAGTAGGGGCCTAAGAGTTCGCGTTTCATTGGATTGGTGACAGTAAATTAGATCTCTATATTTTAGCTTTCTGTTTAAGATTTGCAGATTTTCAGTATCACTACATCATGCCCTCCCACAGTTCTTACACCTCTCACACTGAATAGGTCTACTTGGGCTATTCTACTCAACTTGGAGTTTGAGCATTAATTTTTGTCTTTCATGTTTAGTATAGATCTAGGCCATAATTAATTTAATGCTATGAGTCATGACAGTCTATATTCTGGTTCTAGGCTCAAAGCAAGATTCATTTTTATATAGTTTATATATTGGTATGAAATTACCTTGCTTTGATAAATTGATGGTTTTTATTTCAGCATTCTAGGGTTCAACAGTATAATAATACATGTAATGGGTGTTTCGCGAAAATAGGCTTCTGTGGCGATCACCAGGAAAGTTCCTCCTTTTTTAGAATTCTGAGTTGAGACCCATGACATGTCACACATTCACTCCATCCATCACAGCATTGTGACCTCTCCATCCCCGCCTCGAAAAAGTGAGAGGAATGGTAGGCTAAGATAATTTGACTAGGCTGGCCTATCATGCGATGCGTTCTGCTTGTCTGCGCATGCCACACCCTCCCCACTCTTTCGCTCCAGTCTTCATTGTTGGCACACGTGGGCTCTCCCATGCTTTGTTTTGTTAGATTACGAAAAGCTATTCAACTGGCAAGGTTATATTATATGATATAAATATGTATTATTGACCTGTGCGCTCTGCACAACAGCAGATATATTCCTCTTTAAAACCGACTCACGTGTTCGTCTGATTGCGCTCTATAGCAGTAGTTTATTTACGAAGATAAAGAAGGGAAAGAACCGGGGGTTTTAGAATAGTGTCTTTATAACAGACTTCTCGTTATTTCAGGACTCGTTATAAGTATAAGTGGACTCGACTGTACAAGCTGTCTACGATCTAGTGCTTTCAAACATGGCATCAAATCCTGGTCCCAGAAGGTTTTTTTTCAGACTCTGACCAAGGAAAGCCACTATATTGAACTTTAACAGGCCTTGGTAAAAGGAAAAGTACAGATCTAGATCTAGATTCTAGACCTACTTTGTGTATAAAAGCTCCTCTTGCGGACAAAACTAGATCATGTGCATGCTTCATCACTAGATCTAGATCTACATGAAAAACGACAAAGCGACCAGTTATAATCTAATTACGGGAAAAAATGTGTTAGTCTGTCGGGAAGAGGAGAAGAAAAAAAAAAAAAAAAAAAAACTTCCAGGACTGGGATTTGTACCCACGCTCA